AATTATTTAATTTTAGTTCCTCTCAATCACTTTTATTACAAAATTATAAAATGTACAGACATACCCAATTTACATTTTTATTAATATATATATATATATATATATATATATATATATATATATATATATATATATATATATATATATATATATATATTACGTGCCAAATTATTTGCCCGCGATGAACTCCTAAACTACTGAACTGGTTTTAATGAAATTTTGTAAATGTGTATTGCTTGCTCTAACTTAGGAGATGGAATAGTTTTTATCCCGATAAGTGCTTTTTTTGTGTTTTAACCATCGATTAATTTTATTAGTTGAATTTAATGACTTTTTATACGACAAAGGGTCGTCGGATAGGGCAGTACAACGTCTGCCTGGCCAGCTAGTGTATAAATAGAAATACAGAATATAGATATAGAAAAGTTTTTAATCTAATATATGTTTAATGGGTGTATTCGTAGTAGGGCCACGAAACATAATTGCGTCTGTACAACCGGGGAAAGGCCACGCCACGCACAGAATACTAGCGGTAAATAGCAGGTTAATGCTGCTGTATTGCGTTTGATTAGTGTAGAGAACCGGAGACCCTTTTTACTGGAAACAAGGCATTTCAAACGGCCAGTCGTATGTGGAAGCTCGAAATCGCTCAGCATGCCATGGACGGGGCTATGCTATGAGTGTCTCTGCGTGTGATGACCTGATAGGACATGCAATGAACGGATGTAGGTGGACAGTGCTCTGTGACATTTCTTGGGGGAGGCCTATCTTTAGCAGTGGACTGTAATAATAATAATGATGATGATGAGGCGTTCTCTTTTAGTCCTCAGGGGTGGCAAAGCATCTGCATTCGGATTCTCAGAAAAGATGCAGTTGTCTATGGGCCATAGCTTGCTTTTTCCTTCAAATGGGCTAGTTTTTCAGTGTTATTGTGAAAAAACACGTTTGCTATTTACTTTATTAGTTTATATAAACCGAGCGAAAACTATAAACATAAATTGTTAATGCTAAATGGGAATCTATGATGCAGAATTATTTAATGTTGGTACCATAGGCTACTTCAATGAATGGTTCATCCCGTACGTGCAGAGCGGCTTTACTGTGAACAAACTTTTCTCGCGAGGTTTTCCTTCACAACCAGGGAGTGGAAAACTAATGAAATTTTATTATTGCAATTAACAATTACAAACTGTGCTTACTTAGGTACTGTAAGCAATAGAATAGCTTTGTTAGGTCAAAGAATAGGTTCTAAAGCCCATTCGAGTGTCTAAAAAGGATGTCTTCAATCGGCTACTTTATACGGTATTATAATCAGGTTGGAAAGTACTAAAGCATTGGCGTTTAACGTTAAAAATTATACAGAAAAGTAATTTACGAAATAATTGTAATTAATTGTGTCTACTAACGCAAATAAAATTGATACAAATACATTGTTGCGTTTCGATAAGATTTAGAGACCAATTTTAGGGTAATATGCATGTTGATTATTAATAAAATAAAATATATTAGATAAATTGTTTAAAGTGTATCTCATTATTATTGTGCTCAGCTGTAATGGGCCAACGGAAATATTTAACTTTTTTTTAAATTAAAGTGAACGAATTTTTAAATGTTTATAAACGCTTTTAAAGTCTCGTTTAGAACCAACATTTTGTTTCATTTTAATCTAATATATACATTACTTTGAAACTAATTTAATCGAAGCAGTTGTAATTATAAAACGATTATCTGATAGCGTGTAAAACGAACCTTAAAAACGATGAAATGTTCTACCGTTTAGGGTAAATTTTAATGTTTGGCTAACAATTATAAATAATCAAAATGATTCTAAGAAACAATTTCAAAAGAATTTTAAATTATATATAATATTTAAAGAATGTTATATTTATAAATAAATTTAAGTAGTGGCGATGTAAGAATATCCACTATCCCTAATCGTCCCGTGGGTATCGTAAGAGGCGATGGAGGGAATCAAACTAGGAGATGGGCAACAGCATCTTCCTAATAATACATAATACATATACATAAACACTCACACCAGTCACCCAGAGGGGTAGGCAGAGACTACAGACTTCCATTTAGCACGATCCTGACATACCTCTCTTGCCTCTTCCACATAAATAAACCTACGCATACATGCTCGTTGGTTAAGGGTACTCTTAATTTGGCCAATTTTTAGTATATCGCCAATTTGGTTGACAAACTTTCGCCTAGGACGTCCCTTTCCGACTTTTCCATTCACTTCTGCAACATATATTTGCTTTGTCAGTCTTTTCTCATTCATTCTTTCTACATGACCAAACCACCGAAGCATTCCTTTCTTAATACTGGTCACCGCATCATCTTACAAACCACACACTTGGGGATAAGTCGCTCGAGTCCGTAGGCTTCGACCACCTAATCCTAGGTCCACCCTACACGTTTCCCCCGGGTGGTACTAAAAGAGCGACAAAGCCGAAACAACAGACTCGACTACTAGCCGTGTGGTAGCGGCGTAAAATATACCAACCCCCTAGTTTGCGCACCATGAGGCAAAGAGGAAAAGAAATTGCCTAATAACAAATAGATATACATTATACTTGTTGCCAAGTAATACGGGTCTTTGAACCTACACGGGCACCAGTCTCCCATGAATGACAAAATATTGTTAAAATAGAGATGTAACACTAATGTATCTTCCATGTCGTTTCTGGTGAGAAATAAATAAATTATTATTATTATTGTGGGGTATCTAAATAGTTTTCTCATCTGGTTGGGTTTTATTATATTTATTCAATTATTATGGGGTATCTATATAGTTTTCTCATCTGGTTGGGTTCTATAAATATATAATTATAAATGAAAATGAAAAAGATAAATATACATAAATATCAATAACATAAAATAAATATAAAAGTACATAAATAAATAAAAGCCCAACCAGATGGAGGCCCTCGGCAGGGGAGACCAAACGGCCGAGGGTTAGGGGGAAAGGAAAAGAAACCGGCGGACGATGCGGGCGGTATCGAGGAGCACCGCCTTCTGCATTTGAACCTGGAACGGTCCGTCACGTAGTCCCAGCCGCTTCAGATGACCCGAGAGGCTGACTGGGATTAGCCCGTTTGCAGAGACGACTACAGGAATAATTTCGGTCGGCAAACCACCCCACATGTCGGTCACCACGTGAGCCAGGTCCAGATATTTTGTTTGCTTGTCTGTTTCGGCTTTCACGAGGTTCTCGTCATACGGAATGGTAATGTCGACCAAAAATATCCTTGACTGTGCCCGGTCCATCAGCACAATATCAGGCTTATTCGCAAGAATAGTCCTGTCTGTGATGATGGCCCGGTCCCAATAGAGCCTGGCGCGATCATTTTCGAGCACGGCTTCCGGCAAGTACTTGTAATACGGCAATTTCCGATCCACGAGACCGTATTTCAGAGCGAGCTCCTGGTGTAGAATTCTCGCTACTAGGTTGTGCCTGTGCAAGTACTCAGAGTTAGAAAGCGCCGAACAACCGGAGATAACATGCCTAAGTGACTCACCGGGATGGCGACAAGCTCGACAGATGTCGACGGTGCCATCCTTTAGGATGTATCTCCGATAGTTGTTGGTCTTAATAACCTGATCCTGTATTGCACAGACAAAACCCTCGGTTTCCCCGAAGAGATCACCAAAGCGTAGCCAGTGGAGGGAGGCTACTGTGTCTACGAAAGGCTCATGTAGAGCCTTGTAGAACCTCCCGTGGAGCTCCTTCTCCTTCCATACGGTCTCCCGGTGGGAAATGCTCGGCACTACCGGGTCTTGCCATTGCTCGTTGGCTAAGGATAGAGGGGTAAGTCCTTTATCACAAGAAATGACGTCCTTATAGAATGGATCATCCGATCTCGCCAGGAAGTAATCACGGAGGCTGCACACTTCGCGATTATGCATGGTGAGCGCGCTCAAGAAGCCACGACCACCATGCTTCCGCGACAAGTACAGCCTCATTACCGACGATCTCGGATGATGCATCCTATGGGACGTCATGGTAGTGCGGACTTTTCTATCCAGGGCGTTAAGTTCAGTCTGAGTCCACCTGAGTATGCCAAAGGTATACATGAGGACAGGCATGACCCAGCCGTTATATGCGTGTGCCTTATTCACATCGGACAAAAGGCTGTTAAGCACTTTGGTCAAGCGTGCATAAAACACGTCGCAAACTGACTGTTTCATACCAGTCTCATCGATACCGATGTTTTGTGACATACCCAGGTATCGGTATGTTTCAGCCTCGGAAAGGGTCCTTAAGTTGACGGGCATAGATAAGTCTACGCCCTCAGAGTTAGCAACCCTTCCCCTTTCAACATGGAGGACCGCACACTTATCCGTCCCAAGCTCCATTCCAATGGAATTGCTAAATTCACAAGTGATGTTTAGCAATTCCATAAGATGGGAGCGACTGGAGGCGAATAACTTGAGGTCATCCATATAGAAAAGGTGGGTCACTTTTGTCCCTCCTCTCCGTAGCTGAAATCCCCTCCCGGAGCCCTCCAGTAAGGTACTGAGAGGGTTCAGAGAGAGGCAGAACCAGATTGGACTCAGACAATCGCCCTGGAAGATACCCCTTCTTATCCTTATGTGGTTCTCCGCAGCCATCATCCGCTCGCCCAGATGACAAAGGATCGTACTCCACTGCCCCATACACTGCTCAAGGAAGTCTCTAACTGTACAGTCTATCCTGTACAGCTCGAGTACTCTCTTTAGCCATGTATGGGGCACCGAGTCGAATGCCTTTCTGTAGTCTATCCAGGCGGCGGAGAAGTTCCGACGGTTGCGTTTCACCACTTTGCCAATGACCGCGTCAATGAGGAGTGGTTCCTTGGTTCCACGACCACCGCCCCGACATCCATTTTGAGCGCGCGACATCACCTGATTTGAGTCCAGGTGACAAGTGATTCTCGCGCTCAAAATGGATGTTAGTGTCTTGTATATGGTCGGTAGACACGTGATGGGGCGGTATTTGCTCGGGTCTGTGGTACCCTGGTCCTTAGGAACCAAATGAGTGATCCCAGTAGTGAAGAGGCTTGGGAGCGACTTCTGGTTGAGAGCCTCTTGAAACTGTCGGGCAAGCACAGAGTGACACACCATGAACCCCTTCAGCCAGTAGTGATGCAGCCCGTCAAGCCCCGGACTTTTCCAGTTCGGGGCCCTACGGACCGCCTCAGCTACGTCATCCGGCGTTATGATGACGGGGTCCATGGGCGTAATACCCGCACACTGACTCGCCACAACTTCCGTCCAAGGGCCCTCGCTGTGGTTTACGGGCTCTGACCACAGGCCGCGCCAGAATGCTACAGTGTCGGCCTGATTCGGTGCTGGACCCGTTCCACTTACCATTGGTCGCTCCAATGATTCATAAAGCCTCTTCTGATCACTCTGGAAGAGACGATTCTGGTTGAACCGTGTCGACCTCTCGGTATATCGCCGAATCCGCTTTCCCCAAGCAGCGATTCTCTGCTTCAGATCATCTATGCGCTCCGTCAGTTTTTGCGTTATATCCGGCTGGGACAAACTGACATTTGTCCCAGCAAACGCCATCCTGACGGTGCGCACAATTCTTGGCCTGTTGTTGCCTGATCTGAAGCATATCAGTCTGCCGATGAGAGCTCTAGCCTTTGCGATACGTTCCTCAATTCTTCTTCTCCATGCTGGGATAGCGCTACTATGGCCAGTAGCGCGTCCAGCCGTGGAAACCTTGGCGCCTATGATACGGCAGACTGCCAGCGCGGCGCCAAAAAGAATTGAGTCCGTCTCGCAAAGGTCCCGGCTGGCTTCCAAATAGGTCACCAGCATTGGGTTCAGAGCCCTCACGACAGCCCGATTCCGCTTGCTTAGGGCTATGCGGGGGAAGTCGCGGTCGATTTTCGAGAGGCGTACTGCGCGTTTCCACAATCGCCTCTTCCAATGTACTCCTCATATGCTCTAATTCCAGTTCCTGGGCGACTGTTCCATCATCGTTTGAATCAACCACAACTGGGGTATTCACGGCGGCATCCACGTTTGCGGGTTGCTCTACCATTTGTGGCGCCGCATCCTCAGCCGTAGCATTCTCATCCGACGAGGGAACAGCCTCACGTCGTAGCCGTTCGAGTTCGGCGACATCAAATATATTTGAGCGCAAGATATACTGAACTCGGTCTGCCAGGTTTTGCTCTGTGACGGTTAAAGATGGCTCCAGCTCAGCAAAAAGACGATGCATCCTAGCCCGATACGCCAAACATCCAGTTTCTCCCCCTTTCGCCCTAAAATACGCCCGCAATGCGTTGCTGTTCATCTGGGTTGTCCAACGCATGCGGCGTACTCCACCAGAGGCGGGTGCCGATTGCTGGGCCCGCGAAGACCCTGCCGACACCAAGCCAGCTGGTGGGGATGATGGATGCGAGGGGCTGCTGGGTGGTCGTGCATCACCTCGCGCTCGGCTGGCGGTTCGCATGCTGCCGCGTCCAGCGCCAGCTCCAGACGCGCCCTGGCGACCTCCAGGGAGCGGCCCTTTGCGCGTTGTTCCGTATTCCATCATCCATAGTAGTGGGCGTCATTTAGCGGGAGACGCCCAGACCCGGCGCCGTTTCATATTGAGGCCATGTGCACAAGCGGGCCTTTGCACCTTCAATTTTTGCCGAGGCACGGCACTAACACCTCTTGGCAAGGTGCTGACTGACTGCGCTGACGTAGCGGTTTTGTCACATAATCGTTACGTCAGCGGGCGATGGGGTCGTCACTTCCCTACGCCTTTTATTTTGTCAATTATTATTATTATTATTATTATAATATTTATTCAATTATTATTATTATTATTAGATATAAAAAATAAAAAACTGCGGTTGCCATCCCACCTGCCAAGCAGAGCGACTACTGAATAAAAGTATTTTTAAGGATTTTATCGCGTTCAATTTACTTATTTTTACTTCCCGGCGTTTCGATTACTTTACATCACCCATTTTCACGGGGGTACTGAGATGTTTGACGTCCCAATGTCAGTTAGCCCGGCTATGTTTAGTTTTTCAGTTTTTGAATATTAAATTTTGGTCCAATCTACGCAGAATGAGCTTAGGTACAGTATTTTAAAGTCTGGCAGTGGTATGCTTGAACTTGGATTTCATTTTGTTAGTTATAGGATCCCAAGTTAATGGCAGCTACCATCCATCTTCTCTATTTAAATCAGGATGTATTTTTAAATTCAAATATTTATTTGTGATCTATCAAATCTGATGTACTTGATGTCTATAGCGTGTAGACTACCCGGAGCCTCAGTGCTTTACGTCAGCTATATATTATTTCACGCGGGATTTTATTGATCCTTTTTTGGATCTTTGATGGATTGGATTTTTTGGATATTCAAAATAAAGCTTTTACACTCCTGAATGCTGTAGAGGGATATTACTTAGAAATTCACATCAAGATGTTGCCAATCTTGTTTGTGACTCCTCTGATATATGGTAGTACAGCAGGCAACACACTTGACCGTGGCCAGATTAACTCGCTCACTGTTATGTAGGTGCAAGACCCGAAGCTTGTTGTCTTGCAATACTTGTTTGACGTGATAAAGTTCGGCAGCGAAAGGTTTTCTGACGCAGATCCCTTGAGCTCTCAGAAAAAAATATTATCCCACGGTAGCTAACTATGATGGATGATGGTGAGATTCTCCACTTAAATATCAGTTGATATGTGTCTTTTTCTTATACCCAGTTCAATCAACAGTGTCTTAAGTATTTCGGATGACTAAAACATCTAAGAAAGCTAAAGAACTATTTGCCTCTAACTTTATTGTGAATTTATTATAGAGTTCGGAGAAACGTGGAAAATTACAATTCTAAAAAAAAAGGTTATTTGACAGAAAACAACTACCGTTCATTGAAGTAGCCTATGGTACCAACATTAAATAATTCTGCATCATAGATTCCTATTTAGCATTAACAATTTATGTTTATAGTTTTCGCTAATTTCCGCTAGTTTTCGCTATAAACTAATAAATTAAATAGCAAACGTGTTTTTTCACAATAACACTGAAAAACTAGCCCATTTGAAGGAAAAGCAAGCTATGGCCCATAGACAACTTCATCTTTTCTTGATTTAGAATCCGAATGCAGATGCTTTGCCACCCCTGAGGACTAAAAGAGAACGCCTCGTCATTATTATTATTATTACAGTCCACTGCTGAAGATAGGCCTCCCCCAAGAAATGTCACAAAGCACTGTCCACATGCATCCATCCATTGCATGTCCTATTAGGTCGTCACACGCAGAGACACTCATAGCATAGCCCAGTCCATGACACGCTGAGCGATTTCGAGCTTCCACATACGTTTGAAATGCCTTGTTTCCAGTAAAAAGGGTCTCCGGTTCTCTACACTAAGGGCGCTTTTAGTGTCACGCGGATTTGCTCACGCACGCGGGATTGGACCGCATGCGTAGCATCCGCAAAGAACAATTTCATATAGGTATCTATTGTAAAGCGTGATAAACGCACGCGGGACGCGGGGCGCTGTGCGGGGCGTCACCCCGGTGCGGGGTATCCGCATGCGTAAGCGCTGCCTACAACTTCAGTGCCCATTTTAGAGTCGAGCGGGGCGCACGCGCCGTATTGTACTACCGAAATGAAAATCGATACAGAACGAGTAATCATTGAAGTTCATCTGCGGCCCGTTTTGTGGGATAAACGCAATGAATTATACAAACACAGGGACGCGAGGGGAGGCTGCATGGAGAGATATTTTGAAGGAATTGGCACCTAACTACGAAAATTTGAGCGAAGAGGAAAGAAAAGAGGCGGGTATGTGTTTGGTTCATTATTTTATTTATACAAGCATCATTACTTTATTAATATAAGCATAATTATTTAATTCACAAATAACATCAAAAACCTTCTAAAACCTTTTGAGTTTAGTTAATTAATTATATATAGGTGTTGCCAGGAGACTTTTCCTTCATTGATAAAGTAATCTGCAAATATATCTCTGATATTACTTGCCGACGTATTACTACTTTCAGTCTGCTGCCTGGGTAGTGGTCCCGTAAAACCATTTGTGACAAATGTATGGCTGACCTTGTAGCCATCCCGTTTCCTTATGAAATTGTGAAGTACACATGCCGTCTTGACTATTAATTGTGCTAGATCTAACTTGACATTCATGGATCTGTGAAATATTCTAAATTTATTTGACATAATTCCAAAAGTGCATTCTATGTACCTTCTAGCTCTGGACAGACGGTAATTAAATATTTTCTTTTTGTAAGGTAAATTATCACGAGCATAAGGCCGCATCACATGTGATGATAAACCAAATGCCTCGTCTCCCACTATCACGAACGGCAACTTTGCTCTTACACTAGATGGATAAGCTACTTCGGGGCAAATAATAGGCAACTCTTGCGGGTCAGGGATACCCAACGTGTTACTTTCCAGTTTCGTATACAATTGACTCCTTCTAAAGATGGTTGAATCGGCGTTGCTTCCACTGGTACCGACATTAATATATGTAAAATTATAATCAGCATCACACATTGCGAGGAGCACTACAGAATAATATTTCTTATAATTAAAATATAGTGATCCACTGTGCGGCGGCCGAATCACTCTTATATGTTTTCCATCAATTGCACCCAAGCAATTAGGAAAATTTGTATATGTGAGAAATCCCTCTGCGATTTCTTTCCATTTGATCCCATTAAGCTGTGGAATACATTCAGACTTTAGTTCAATCCATATTATGTAACAAACTTGTCTTACTATTTCGCTAATTGTTGCAATTCCAATCACATAGGAATAGTGTAGATCAGTGAATGTATTACCAGTTGCCAAATATCTGAAAACAAAAACAATATATTAATAATATGATAACATAATATATTAATAATGCTGACATCAGACATAAGACAGCATGCACCACTCGAATTTTACTTCAGAAGAAAAATAAATACCCTTAAGGTGAAAGGGCACGGAAGTAGCTAGCGCTAGAAGTTTTTAATTCGTTTTAGCTACAGTACTATAGCTACGTTAGATTTCTATGATTTGCCGAAAATTTTATCATAGGGGGGGTATTTATGCAGTTATGATTTCATATGAAAACTTCGAAGTATAGTTATGTATCTCATATCTGCTAAAAGTGGCCACTTTTAGCAGATTTGAGACACATAACTATGCTGTAAATATTTTATAAGAAATCTTCTCTGTATAAATTAACCCCTATGGTAAAATTTCCGGCAAATGAAAGGAATCTAATAAATATATATAATATAATATAATGAAATATCGTTTATTTCAGGCAATATTTACATTACAAGATGTCCTCCTTCATGAAGGTTGACAGATGCAAATAAAGCAAATTTTTGTTAAAACAAATTAAAAACTTACAGCGCTAGTGACTTCCGGAAGTTTTCACCTTAATTTTGATGATGGCAAATTTTACTGTAACAAATAAACAAATTGCCCGATTCAATCCGGTGTTTTTCCAAAAATCCTTAAATGAAGTTCTAATTATTTTTGTAAAAAATGAATTATTTCGTCGATGTCTGCGTCGCGCCGCCCCGGCCGCGCCGTCTGCGTCTAGTATAAGATTCACTTTGCGCTATCGTTCGCGGCGAAATTGACCGGCCTGCGCCGGCCCGCCGTTTGCGTTGCGCCTAAGGGTACTTTTCCTTCAACTGCGGCCTTATTTTTTCCACTCTGTATAGGTATATATATATTGCTTGATTTATCTAATGCTTCATGAGACAGTGTAAAGTTGACAACATGTGTGAATTAAGGAGGGCCTTTAATCGAATGCAGTTAAATTTCCAACTAATATCAGATTTGTACACACGGCCACAGATCAAGCTTCCCAAAACCAGTATAAACAGGACTCATGCGTTGTTTATTATCGTAGACGACTCGGCGCCCGGCGAGGCCCTAGCAAGTTCCGTTTATTGGTACTGGTTTTGGGTAACTTGATCTGAAACTGTGTGTACTTTTGCCACTTACTTATTATATTTTGTCATTTCAGACAAGAAAATACAACAACGCTGGCGAACAGCAAGGGACACTTACCAGAAAGACAAGATATCTGAAAAAAATCAGCCATCCGGCTCTGGGAGTAAGAAGAAGAAGAAGAAATATTCTTACTATGACATTTTGACTTTCTTAGACAGTACAACGGAAACTGCTGGAGAAGAGTCACTCTGTGAAGAAATGTCTGAACAAAGTAATTTAGAAACACCTAATGAG